TTTAGTATATTTAGATGAATCGGAATTTGGTAGCGTTCGGTCCAAGAAGATAACAAATTTTCTTCGATAATGTAGTGATCATCTTGTATAATTGGTTATTGTTTACATTCCGTAAATTTAAAGTTAGTTGGATGTCGTGATTGTGAAACCCTTTGATGTTAATAACTATGTAATTTTATGTGTTCTAGTTTCTCGTTAGTTTTCTAATAACATCTGCTTATCAATCAATTATTTAATTAGACAATTTTTGAATCAAAAATACCAAATCGTACTTTTTATGTATCATTTTCTAATAAAAGTAAGGACGCGATAATCCACATCTCATGTTTCTAAACATAAACATTATATTTTTTGTTCCGAAAATATGATTTATTTTTCTATGTTGTTCAAAACACATTGATGGAAACAATATGACATTATAATTTTATATATTTTTCTTAAAAAAATAATAATATGTATGGTTTCATGCCATGTGCCTTTTTTCATTTGTTTTGTTTAACCACAATGCCATGTGATGTGTTCATCATGTAATGCATTTTTATTTTCTAGTCGAAAGATATAAAAATATGTGACTAATAGCGTAATAGCAATACAATATATGGTTTATAAATATTTTTGTTAAAGAGTAAAAGAATGCAACTTTAAAAATTAGTGAAACTATATAATTGACAATCACAACATAGACAGTTTGAAATTACAAACGTTGTTGTGTAAAAAGAAGAAAAAAAAATTACAAACGCCTTTTAGCCTTAGAAACATCACAATTTTGAATCAGATTTTGTTTCTTTAAGTTTTTTTTTTTTTTTTTTTTTTTTTTTTTTTGGTAGTTGAAGGATAGTTCTGAATTCCGACTTATTCCCTTAATCAACTTTCATCTTACTCTTATTTTTCCGTTTTATTGATTTAAATGGAGACAATGTGTTCATCAATTCCATTTGGGTTTGTAGAGTTCAATTTTGTTTAAGGCTTTATTAAGTTAAGCATCGATGATTTTAGTCTCATCAAACCTTTTACATAATCAAGATTAATCGAGAAAGTTGAGATTGCTTTTAGCTATATTGCAAGCTTGAAAGGTGTCGCATAAGCTGATTTAATCTTGAGAAGACATGGTTCCAAAAGGCATCGCCATTTCAACAGGGTTTTGCATATACTTTTACACACATTATGCTTTTCGCAAGATTATATTGTCAACAACAAGGTTTTCCATGTTTGTATCTTTGAGATTAATTGGTAAAATTTTCGTTGATCAAATGTGTAGTGAAATCCCACAACTTCTTTCCCAATTCTCTATCATTAGCTTCTTTGCTTGCTTCCTCTAAATTACAATCACCAAAATACTTGCCACTCATCCCCTCCACTTGAGGATGCAATGCCACGTAGCATGTAGTTGCTGCTCCCTGTTAAAATATAAATAACAACAAACAATCATATCATATAAAAATATAAAATCAAACTCTTTTAACTTTCAATTTTCTTAAACAATCACCTGTTGCACAGTTTTAAGCACCAATTTTCCAAACACGTTAGTAAGTCCTGCATCAATACCCACAAACAATTGTACATAAATTCATTATATATTAAAAAAAATGTTTTTTAGTGTAATTAGGTCACCTCCAAAAAAGGTGTGATGGCGGAAGATATTGGTGGGAATTGCTCCGGGATGAACCGCGTTTGCAGTTATGGGTGCTTCATCTTCATCTTCCTGCTTGTGAAACCCTAATTCTCATTATCGATCATTATATTATACCAATTTTTAACTTGGAGAACAGGTAATCGGTTACCTAGAGTACCTTTAAGCGACGTGAAAGCTCGTTAGAATGAAGAACATTGGCTAACTTTGATTGACCATATGCAGATAAAGCATTGTACCTTTTACAAGTTATAACAAACACAGTCAAAAGTATAGAAAGATAAAAAGAGTCAAATAATGAGAAATTATGAATCGAATTTTGTAATTTACCCAGATTGAGTGTTGATATTGTCGAAGCGAATCCCTTCGCTGTAAGATAACTGGTGTCTACGTGATGAAACATTCACAATTCTTCCTTCTTTTCTACTTTCAAGTGCAGTTTTTTTCATGGTTTCCAGGAGAAGATTTGTTAGATGAAAATGGCCGACATGATTGGTTGCAAATTGTAGCTCTATGTTGTCTTTGGATAGCATATATGGGGTTCCTAAGATTCCTGCATTATTTCTGGAAAAACGGAATAAAGACTAAAAAATCTTAGAAATTAACAATTTGAATAGCATTACGATGGGGATTATTGATCTTACATGAGGAGATTGAGTGGAAGACCTGAGGATTTGAAATCTGATGCGAAATTGTTTACTGATGCTAGGGAACTGAGATCGAGCTCCATGGTATTGAGTTTGGCAGATGGGATTTGTTTTAGGATTGCTTCTTTGACCTCTCTTCCTGCTGACGTATTCCTAACAGCCATAACTACATGGACTCCACGAAGTGCAAGAACCCGTGCAGTTTCAGTCCCGAGGCCACTTGAGGCTCCTGAAATAGCATCATGGAATAATTATAACAAAAATAGAGTTCAGTTAGTACTTTTATCGAACACTTGGAAGGTAAAATTGAAACAGAGTTCGGTTAGTACTTTAATCGAACACTTGGAAGGCAAAATGAGAACATTTTCAGTTAAGTGGAAGATGAGGCGAGTTACTTACCTGTAACAATGGCAGTGAGACCCGATCCATCAATTCCCTGGGTAACTTCCTCGGCCGTTGAGAATCTTGAGAACCCAGATGGCCCTTTTAATCCAAACATCGTTCTCTGGAAGAAATGAAGCATCTACTTTTTATTGCTAATACTCTATCCAAACAACTATATCCACGTTATCGAATACAAGTTTACTATAATTTTGCTATTATGTTACGAAATTTTGTGTTAGTTGCTAAACTTCGATTGCCTTTTCCAATCTTTAATTGAGAACTTCAAACTCCATTGGGACTTGGAACATGCAGGTGCAGAATAATCTAAATACCCCTCAATTTTTTAAAAGGAAATACGTTCATAACAAAACAAATTTAAAAGCCCTAAATTTAATTTACATAAAACAATACCATTTTTCTACAAGGCAAACAAAATGGATTTGATTACAGGGAAAATGACATAGTATGGTAAAAAAAAATACATTCCAAGTAAGGTATTTGTAAAAAACACCAATGAACTATACGTTTTATTCAAATATTACCTTATGGTAACCGGCATTTTTTGGTGAGGGGCAAAATATTACCGATAAAAATTTAATTGATGGAAAAAAAAGGATTCACGAGGATAACTATGTTTCAAAGTCGTCCAAAAAACAACATCACGGTTTGGTATATTTAAAATACACAATCAACATAACATCTTTGTACAAAAACCCCCCAACGAACTATATGTCTTGTTGAAATGTTACCCACGGGTACTCATCTCCATGTTTATTGGTGAAATGGCATAATAACTGATGACATGACATTAATTGATATATTCCTCATTTATATATCAATTTAGGCTACTTCATGAACAAACGATTTCTTATCTTATGATTGTTTATTCTTCAACTAAATCAATGATCTCTAACTCAAGCTCACAATTCGAAGACATCAAAGATATTTGATGATGCAAACCCTTGTGGCTATGGGCACCCTTCTCGAATTTGCACATCAACCACACAGACTAATCCTGACAAAAAGTTCAGGATTTGTCCCAACCGAACAGTAAGTTTAACTGAAAGCTTTATCATGTCATTCTCCTATATATTTTCTTGGTTATGTGATTCATTTTATGAATACAAAGACTAATCCTAGAAAAAAGTTCATGGTTTGTTCCAACCGAATGACATTCCAAATTGAGTAAACTAACCCAGCCTATTGCACTATTAGGTTTTAAACTAAATGGCCATTACTTATGCCATTTTGCAATATGCACCAATATTTTGAACTTATACAAATAAAAAATAACATCTAGTTCCAACAAATTGGAGGTTTTACGGATAAGTTCTAGGTTCCTTTAGCTGTATTTATTTAATGTTTTTTAATAAGTAAAATACAATAGTCCGGAATGCGAAGTACTTATCTGGAATGTAGTATAAATTAATATGCAAAGCCTTAGCTAGGTAGTTATTTGGTCTTAGTAACGCCTCAATAAATTAAGTGAAATTTTATTATGTGAAATACAATAGTCCGGATTGTAGTATGAATTCATATGAAATGCCTTGGGTAGGTAGTTATTTAGCCTTAGTAACGCCCCAATACATTAGATAACTAGTTAGGTTAAAAGTATCAATCTATAGAGAATTCTGAAATGTATTTTATATTATGGAATACGAAGAACAACTTAAAAATATAAAGAGCAACTCTGAAATGTGTAGAACAATCCATTTTGTAACGCCATAAAGAGTGTGGTGAACTCAACCAACTGTCATGTGAGGCTATCTTCCGACAAACATGTTTTGGTAGGTGGTTAGATATTCATTTGGGGTGGAAAGAGACCATTTGCTTTCAATTTGAATTGATGCTCTAAATCAAGTCTTGTTGAACATTATAATTTGTGCTTTTTAATGATTTTGATTTTTTGTTCATTTAGGGGCACCATGAGGTTATCCGCCTCTTCATGGCACGATTTAGTTTGGGTAGTTTCTGGTTTTTAATGATGCAAATGCGTGTTCATGGTTCACAATTTTGTTACCATCAAAACTCCAACCTCCGGGTGAACACCCGTGTCCTTGCCCTGATTGGAGGGATTCTAAGCACTCAATATTAACGTTTTACAAGATCACATCTTCACTAAAATTGCCAAAGTAATAAGCACAACTTACACTTGTCAATCGACAAATATCGCCGGCTGGCATCACAATTCACAGCACCACCTTTGTCTACCTAAAACCACATGCATCATCAAGTTATAGGTCTTCTAATTAGTACACCCTATATATACATCCTAATAAAAAATGAAAATGTATCATATATATATGTTTGCAAAAAAAGAGCCTTAATTAATGTTTTCCTCATCGATCTTTATCTTTGATCTTCTTGGCATCAGAGTAGTATCTCTTGAAAGCTCGAGGAAGATAAAACGGCAATAGAAACCCAAACAGGTTAAAGCTCCAGTACATCATATTAGCAATCGCCAACACTCTTCCAATTAACAACCTTCTTCTACTCCCATGGAAATCCTCATCATCCACCTTCGATATCTCACTTTTCACCCACGACATCACCGTATATATCCTTGTCGAATTGTACACCACAGGCACCAACGCCCTCATCGGCAACGAAAACCCATCGGAAAACGCCACCCCTTCCAGAAACAACTGGCTAGCCAACAAGAATACATGTGGAGTCGCTGCTTTGATACCCTCTTTATCTCCTTCAAGAATTCCTTCAAATATGTATCCTACCGGAAGAAATAGCCCAATGACAGCTCCAAGGAAACAGTAGAGGATGAGGAGGTTGTTGTTGTCGTCAAAAACGGATTGGTTGTGGGCCGGAGAGAGGGTGGGAAATGCGACCTTGGACATGAAGTACATGTAGAAGAAGGAGAGAACTACAAAGCCGAAGTCTTCAATGGCGACCATGCCAGAGGCAGAGAGCACCACCACCAGGGCAAGGGAGTTAAGTTGTTGGAAGGAGAATATGCGACGTAGGAAATGGGATTTTGGTTGCCTTCTGGAGCGTGGTGTTTTTTGTTCGTATTTTGTTTCTTCTCTAACTACGTCGTCGTTGCTGGGGGCTACCCCACCCGACATTTTTTCCCGGTGGCTTTTCTTTGTGAAATTGTGAAGAGATTTTATTAAAAATGGTGGATGACTTGTGAGACAAAAATGAGAGTTTTGGTGTGAGAAAGAGAGTAAAAAATGGGATTTGTGAGGATGAGAGAGATTGAAGGAGGATGGGTGGAGGTGACTGTGAAACCTTGAGTTATGGTTAAGTATACACGTGGCAGAGAGGAGTTGGAAGTAGAAGGTGACGTGTTAGATATTGTTGTTTGATTTTTGCTGACTGATTTAAGTAATTTGTTCGAATCATCTTGTACATGTAAATTGAACTAAAATATGATGACATTTCATTGTTCATATGCCTTAGAAAAGTTATATATTTTCTTTTCTTTTTTCTCATTTATTTTTATTCATATAAAATATGTATATGAAATCTATTAATTTTTTTAACTTTTTTTTTTTATTTTGACATTTTTATTGATCAAATGAATAGGAAAATAGATTTTTTTTTTCTCTATGTATTATAATCAGATTAAAACTCGATGACAATATATTAGAATCGGATTCAAACAGACGATTGAATATGCTTCAAAGCTAAACATCACCACTTACTCTTTCCTACTAGTGTATCATCTTCTATACAAATTTTATTTGGTTCATATTGATGTTTGGGGACCATACAAACATATTTCTTATGATGGATATAAATTTTCTGTGCCCATTGTTGATGATTTTAGCAAACATACTTGGGTCTACATGATTACACACAAAGGGTATGTTCTTGCTGTCATAAAATAGTTTGTGATCTTTATGTGTTTTTCAATAATATCGATGCATTATTTGGTCAAATTTATCAAGGTTGTCCATGGTGAGAACGGCCCATACGGAAAATCTCAATTGTCCCCTACGACTTAAGACTCTTTGGACAAGATTTATTAAAGATCTTAACGATATTGTACGTGGTTTTTTTTACATATCATGTGTCATTAGGTATCCAGAATATGACGTAAAGTTTGTAAGATGTAATATAAAGTGTGTAGCCCTCAATAGTCCCTACGACTTAAGACTTTTTACATATTGTACGTGTTTTTTTTTTGTAAGAATTTTTTTATAGAGATGTCAACATGACCAAACGGAGGCGAAAGTAGATGCCACCGTCCCCGAACCCAGCCCATGAATTTCAAGATAGTAAGAATTTTTTCTTAGTCTCTTCCATCTTATGGATTACCAAGATGGTACAAATTTGACAATCAAATCAAAGTGAATAATATACTTAGTTTTGAGAATCTATTCAAATCTGGATCGTTTTCTATTTTGGACAAAGTTGAACAAGATGCAATAAATTCGTTCATATCGTCACTACCGCCTGATTCTGGTAAAATTTTATCAAAAAAATACAGGGTCGAGGGACCTCAGAAGCAGCCTCCATAAGAATAATAATTTTAAAATTTTGTACATGTAAACTAATAAAACTCATTACTGCCTTCATGAATCATAATTACATGGAGTCCATCCCAACTCCTTTTGCTACAAATCTCATTTCTCACCTTCAATTTCTTCCAACAAAAAAAACATCAATTGAATTCAACAAACAATCTACCAAAAACAGATGCGAGCTGTTGCATTTGCATTGCGATTATTTCAATAGTGTATCCTATCATCAAAAACAAAAACAAAAACAAGCACCACCTCCAAAAGATTATCCAGATTCATAATCCAAAAAACCCCACAAGATCAAAAAAAAAAAAACTAGTATGATATTGGATATGGATATGGAATCATTTTTCTTTCTTACCTTGAAATCAGGACAGAAGACCCACTCGTAAAACTGGAACCTCCGGCTAAACAATAATATTTTTAATAAAATGTCTCTCACTCTGTTGTGTTGTGGTTAATAAAAAGCTGCACATTGTTCTTCCTTCCGTATAACCATCAATCAATCAAAATCAATCAACCTAAACTCACTTCACTTCACTTCTTCCCCCTCCCCTTCCTAATTAACACCACCTTTCTGTTTTGGAATATACTTTGTCTTCACCCCTCCTCCTTTCTCACCCTTCACTACAAACTTTCCTTTCACTTTCACTTTCACATTATTCGTATTATTAATACTCGAATTATTATTCGTATTATTATTCATATTATTATTGCTTGAACTTTCATTATTCTCGCCAGGTGGCTCCTCTCTTGATGATGATGATGATGATGATGATAAAGATAAAATCAACTTGGAATGCTCCCCCGATATTGCCTCCTTCCATCCTACATTACATATTATTATTATTATTATTTACTAAATAAATAACCACAAATTTAAGTTACATTTTTTATAGAGACAGAGAGAGGGTGTACTTTGTGCAAGAAAAGCTTTTGCAGCATCAAGAGAGAAGAGCTTTGCTTCGGGCTCATTTCCACCGTCACTGTCATCGTTTGACTGACACGTAGGCGGAGTTTGACTTTGACCATTCTCACCTTTTACTTTACTATCTCCAGATACACCTCTTGAGTCATGACGTGGCCTCCAAATTTTGACAGTGGAACGTTCCCTGCCAGGCTGGACGTTGTTCTTTTTGACTTCTGTATTTCCATTTTCTTGACCTTGACCTTGACCTTGACCTGGACTTCTAACTGTCACAGATATGGAACCAATCATAAGCTGACAGTTGTTGCTCTGGCTCTGGCTCTGACTGGTTGCGTCGTTTTGTACTCTAGATTTCACAACTTCCACCCCTCCATTTTCCGGTTTTGGCTTTTTCGTCCATATTTTACTAGTATTGACAACATTAGTCCTTTGTTCTCTATGCTTATTATGTGTTTGTTCCCTTTTGGATCCGTAAAACCCATTTCGACCGCCTTTTTGTGATTTCGGGACCTGCCATCGAGCCACCATCTGATGTAAGTCGTTCCCGTGCACCTTTTGGTGCTCCGTGGGCTCCACAACATTCAGATCTTCTTCTTCTTCTTCTTCTACATTGTTTGAAAACTGAACGATGACATCATCATCATCATCATCATCATCATCTGGAGAAAATGAATCGACTTCCGCACAAGTTGGAGAGCTGGATGTTTCTGTGGATGGAGTTGTTGTTTCAAATAAATCCGGTTTGACTTCGTTTGACTGATCTTTCGCTCTTTGTTCCTTTTGTCTTAGCTTTCTTTGTTTTTTCCTTTCCAAAATCTCCGCTTGCCTACATAAAATAAAATAAAAAAAGTCAAAAAAAACTTCGTTAAGAAGAAACTGTTAATAGTGAAAACTACATACCTCCTTTGAGCAGCTTCTTCTTCCTCAACAAGTAACTTTTGGCATCTTAATGCTTCAGCATCCTTGTCTGCAAGCCATGCTTTGACCTGTATGTATGTAAAGTTTTCTATTTATTATTACCACTTCTAATATAATTTAATAAATTAAATAAGAAAAAGAAAATACCAATTTTTGTTCGAAAAGAAAGCTAGTGGCAGCAATTAGGTTTTTGATTTCAAGCCCAATTTTACCAGCTTCTCCATCAAAGACGAATTTTTGTAATGATTCAGCAGTTCCAGCACTTAGAAATGTTGTCTCACTGGCATCATTTAGGATGCTGAATAATTCTTGGGAGGAAACTGGAAGTCTAGAAGTAGAAGGTCTACCTTGGATTATGTCCTATAAGTTATAACATATAATTGATTACAAAATGTTAATAATAAATAACAAAATTCATTTAGAGTTAAAAGATGTTAGAAATAAGATGTGATTGATTACTTACCACAAGCATAGAGCCAGCTTTGACATAAATTTGTGGGAGAGATAGAAAGATTGGCTTGCGGAGATTTGCTATAATGTTTCTTATTATTGAAGACCCTGGAACTTCCTAAAATGGAAATGGGTTGTATTAAATATTTAACTACTTTGATAACATAGTTTTCGTAATCATATTCAACACATTAATTAATTGTTTACAAAATTTAAAGAAGAATGAATTAGAAAAGAGAAAGTACCTCCAGGTTAACATCCTTGAAAGACATGATTTCCTTAGCTTCATCGAATGAGAGCTACATAAGACACAATAATAATGAGCACAAAAAACTGGTTAAAGAACAAAACTTTCCAAATATAAATAAAAGATTCGAGTCTTACCTTGTCCCAAAATGCCCCCAATAAATCCCTATACTTCTGGGACTCCTATATAATGAAAGTAGAGACAAGTGTATTAAGTATTTAGTATCAACAAACAAATATCTACATATATGTATAAGAAAAGATAGTAGCAATTAGTTTAAACTTTAAAGATGCATGAAATTGAATTTAAATTTATAATAAAGATATAATAAAACCTTATGGAACTTTAAAGAGCGACGATGAACTCGTATATGTCTTCGATAATTGACAGGTGAACAGAATTCACGGGCACATTTCTCACATTTCTGCATCTGAATCTTCATAGGAGCCAACAAGGGCCAACCAGGGAGATCTGCACAAAAAAGGTTAGACTTAGGGGTATATTTGTCTTTTTTCATGCAGCTAATGTTGAAAGATAAGAAGATTTGTGAATACCTTGTTGATCCAAAGCATGAAGTAATTGTATCCACTGCACAGGGCTATCCCCAGTTCTTGAAAATGAAAATGAAGGTTCTTTTCCAACTGCTTGTTTGATGAAGGTATCCAAGGAATCACTTCCTTCCTCTGCTTTCATTGCATCTGCAGAACTGGTGCCCAAAAGTTTTGCAACTGGCATCTATATTCACATGAGTTAGCATTAGCATATACATATTAACATAATAATTTTAACATTAGTTAAAGAATCGTTCATTAACAACTTATATATAGCCTCATTAACCATTGGCATTTGATTAACCCCTCAATGTAATTGTATTGTGAAGATATTACATGCACATTCAACACTCATAGACATAATACTAACCACATTTCACATGCTTCTTATGCTTAAAGTTCCAAAGATATCATGTCATTACTCATATGTACTCTGATTCTATGGATAACTAGAAAAATACACATTCCAAGCCTTTTTCAGGTAAATCCACCACCATGACCA